CAGGCACAGGGCACAGAGCAGGTCAGGTTCCTGGGGCGGCCGCACTCCAGGGTCCCCGGGATGAGGATGTAGGGTGTGTGGTTGAGGGCTGGTGAGGAGGGGGAGAGGGGATCAGGAGGGAGGGTCCCAGCTGGGGCCCTGTGAGAAGTCTCCGGCTTTAGCCCAGGCCCTCCCTCTGAGCCCAGCACACTGTACCCTGACCCCCTCCCAGGATGGGGTTTCATCCCAGCCCTGCCAGAAGCCACCATAACCACTCCTGTGGCTTCTCCTGGAGTCCGTTCCGTACCTGTCACTGTCACGGAGAGCCTTTTCTGTCTGTATGAATATGAAGCAGAACTTCCTCTCTCCACCCGAAAAAAGTAAACTCCGCCATCGGTCCTCCTGGCGTCTCTGATGTCCAGGGAGCAATTTTTGGTCCTGGGATCACCAAGGAGGTGGAATCGGCCCTGGGTCTCCTCCTGCACTTTACGAGCCGGGTTGTTTGTGGCCACAGCAGCATCCTGGTGTACATTAGCTCCTTCCTGGAACCAGTAGCCATATGCAGGGGGAGGAGTATTCCAGTAGCTCCCCGGGTAAGTGAAGGTGCAGGGCACAAACACACACAGGCCCTCCTGCACGGTCACAGGCATCTGCACTGTCAGCCTGTATCCACTATACTGAGCCAGGGACCCTGCAGGAAAAGGAGAGTCAGCAACAGCCCCTGCCCCACTCTCCCCTCTCCCCTCAGACACTCACCTGCCCACAGCAGGGCCAGCAGCCACAGCATCTCTGACATGGAGGGTTTCTGGGCTCCTGTGGGTGAAAAAAGAATGAAGACCGTGGGAGGTGGTACCGTGGTGAGACCACGGAAGCTGAGGAGGAGCACGAGATCCCGGCCGTTCACAAAAGCGGAACCTCGGAGCCCAAGCGCTTCCCCTTTCTGCACAGAGCAGGCAGACACCCCACAGCTGAGAGACCATGGACACCCTCCCAGAGAAGGACAGACAGAAAGCTGACTCCGTGTCCTGTCCTGTCTTGGGTTTTCCCTGCATCTCCAGAGCAGAGCCAGGACCTCCGTGGGCATCTGAGGAGGGGACACGGGAGTCTCCTAAGGTCCTCCCATTGGGGCCTTTTCTGAGCTCTGTGTCTACATCAGAGAGCTGGTTCACTCCTGCATTGACTGGAGGTGCCAGCCTCATCTAGAAGCTGTGGTCGGTCCTACAAGGCGTAGGATTCTGTAATGTTCATGTGAAAGTTTGGGGCAGAAGGAAAGAAGGGGGCCTCAAGTGAGGTAAAGGCAGCATTCACTCATTCATTCATTCATTCATTCACTCATTCATTCATTTATTCATTCACAAAACACTCAGTGAACATCTACGTGTTGGTTGACTGAAGACAAGACAAGAACAGATCCATGGACTTAGTCTATGTCCCTGAGATGGTCTCCACCCAGTGACATCACTTCCTCCCAAACACAGTGTTCTTGGGCTGGCTTTAGATCTGCAGTCACTCATCAGTCTACCACGTGTCCTGGTGGCAGGCTGGGTATTTCCTAAAAACACAAGTGCGGGTTCCTATTTTACATCTCTGATTCCCAGGG